AGTGGGCCATGTTGAATTCAGTCACCTTAACTTTTATGCCATCTGCTGGCCCGAGATGATAGTATTTGAGTAAAGATTTAAATGAAGTTAAGAAGTAAGATGTGAGGATATCTAAAGAAAGCATTATGGCAGGAGAAACGGCCTTGAAGGTCTAAGTGTGCTTGTAACCTTTGAGGAAAACAGGGAAACCAGTGTGGAGGGAATAGACTGAATGAGGGAGAGGGTGGCAGATGTGGTTTGAGAACAGTCAGAGACCAATCAAAGCTTTAGATTTTATTTTAAATATGGTGGGCAGGGGCCAGCAGGTGGTGTAGTGGTTAAGGCCCTGGACTCCCACATAGTTGACTGCAGTTCAAGTCCCAGATATGGTGGCTTGCTTTCTTGCTCTCTCTCTTTGTCTCTGTCTTTCTTTGGTGAGCCCACATGTTCTACAGAAAAATTTAAGAATGATAATAATAACCAATAAAATGAAATATTTTTTAAAAACTCAATTTAAAAAAATAAGTGAAGGGGCAAGCAGGTGATGTAGTAGTTAAGGTGCTGGACTCCCACACGGCTGACTGCAGTTTGAGTCCTGAAAAATCTTTCTTAAATAAAAATAAGGTGAGAAATCATTTGAAGATTTTCAGCAAAAGAGTGAAATGATCCGATTTATATTCTAATAGGATCCATCTGGTTGCTGAATAAGTAATATACTCCAGGGGGTAAGGGTGATAACAAGAGACCAAGTAGAATACAGTGGTAGAGACTGAGAAGTATTTAGATGTGGGGCATGTTTTGAAGAGCTAATAAGAATTGCTATTAGCAATTCGTAAATTTGCTATTCTTTGCTATTCATAAATTGAATATGGGGTTGAGCTAAGAGTTTTTGAGTTTTGACCTAGGCAGCTAACTCAATGAAGGTGCCATTTACTGAGATGAAGAAAACTGAGATGGACATTAAATTTAGGAGGCAAAATCAAGAGTTCATATTTAGATGCGTAAGACACTGTTTGACTTCCAAATTCTTGGGGACAATAGGTCTTTAGGAGCTGTAGTTGGTGTCAACCTTTTATAGAGACATGTCTAGGTTGAGGTGTCAGAGAAATGAGAATGCTCCTTCCTAGTAATTCCTCAGATAGTCAAGTGATAGAAGGGGGTTGGTCATCTGGTCTGGTCTTATATACATGATGATTTCAGGGCAAAGAGTAATCTCTTTCTAAAAAAATTCCTGATTTCTGGGACCAGCAGTTGGCATTATGGCTATGTCCCTGGACTCCCAGGTAGTCGACCGCAGTTTGAATTCCAGACTCAGTGGCTTTAACTCACGCTGGGCGTGTGCCCAAGATCCCAAGAGGAGAATGGAGGAGAAGGGATTGTGGCATGGCCAGCCTCCCTGGGGGATGATTTCTCATTTTCTGTCTCTGTCTCT